ACCCCAAAATGGCACTCTGCAGCTGAGCGTGTGGTTTGAAGGACAAAGGGGAAGGTGGTCTCATTCTTCCCCCCGCCTCCCCACTGCTCTGGTTATCTCCCTGATAGCTGGCACTCCAACTGATATTCTTCAGATCAAGTGCTAGAACTCGTGGAGTGACTTCACCTTGCTTGTGGCAGAAAACAACAGGACAGGCAAGGCAAGGAGGCTGGGCTGGGGCAACTCATGATCTTCTCTCTTTGGCCAGGCCCTTTGGAGAGTTGGAGCAGTTTGGGCTGGAGCGGGCCCTGCCCCACTTGGTGGCAACAGGCAGGAGCCTGTAGAATTCACCCCAAGGCACCCTCTCTGAGACTAGAAAAAAAGAAGAAGAAAAGCCGAAAAAGATAAAGCCTTTGCCAAGCAAAGGCTAAATAGCCAGTAAAGCAAAATACCACGTGTCAAAGACCCAGAAACTGCCTTTGACTATGATTTTAAAAGTTCCCATGATAACACCCCCACCCCACAAGGTTATTAGGGTTTAAAGATACAGTAACAGTTTTTGGGTGCAGATGGATATGGAACACAATAACATGAATAACCCCAGGACATTTCCACCCCTTATTCTGTATCATTGAATCATGCCCAAATTAATATATTTCGACTGTAAACACATATATCTATACATATATACATATAATTATATACAAATACAATTATTTCAGTAGCCTCTGATCACCCCCTAGGATATGGATTGAGTTAATTTTCGCCGTGACTGGTAAAACAAGGAGCAGTCCATTCTCATTGTCCATGATAATTACAACATGTAGTGGCAGTATCATTCAGCAAACAGTGGTACATAGGCATTCCAACATTACAACCTGTTCTCACCCAAAATCAAATCCCCCTGAGGTACACAACGTGTTTCTCTATCCCTCTGCATTACCCACCAAGGGTAACCAGGTCCTTAAGCAAAAACAATCCCATGGATGAGTTTTCCTTTGCTCAAGGCAGAATTAATCCAAACAGTCTTTGCTAACATACCTCTCATATGCACCACAGGCACTTTATCCCTGTCTGCTGTATGCAGGGGCTCAGATTGGGCAGGGTCAGCTCGATTAGTGGAACCTCTGATGTTGACTAATCATGTAACCTTGGCTAAATGCAGATCCTACTGCTTGAAGATCCCACCACTCATTGCCTTCAGTGTTGTTTTTAACAGTCCACTACACTGCTCAACTTTCCTGGCAGCTGGTGCATGATAAAGAATATGATACACCCACTCAATACCATGTTCTCTAGCCCAGATATTTATAAGGCTGTTCTTGAAATGAGTCCCATTGTCTGACTCAATTCTGTCATGAGTGCCATGCTGCCACAGGACTTGTTTTTCACGTTCCAGGATGGTATTCCAGGCAGTGGCATGAGGCACAGGGTGCATCTCTAGTCATCCAGTGGTTGCTTCTACCACTGTGAGCACGTAATGCTTGCCTTGGCAGGTTTGTGGCAGTGTGATATAGTCAATCTGCCAGGTCTCCCCATACCACAAGGGCTTTACCTGCTTAGCCTGCTTGATCACAGCACACATCTCACAATCATGAATTACCTGAGCTATGGTGTCTGTGGTTAACTCCACCCTTCGGTGTAGCACCCCAAAACATTTAAATGTAAGGAGGTTTTATGAGGTTCCTTTGCTCTGGGTTGATGCACAGGAGACATACTGACCAGATATTCTCAAGAGGTCAAAAGTTTACTGGCAAAATATAGAAAATCAAGGAACTTTGGCAAAGGATTTAGTACAACATCCAATTCAACATAAATTGCTTATCATAGCATTAACTTAGCCCATTTAACTTAGAAACCTCTAAACCCATTTGATGTTATGTTACCCAAAATGTTCTATGAAAAGAAAATTAGAAGGAGAAGAGAGAAAGACAGAAAAGATATATAAAGGCACATATAGCTACCAACTCCTGGGTGTCAGAGTGGATTCCAAGAGGAGGCAGGGTCAAGACACATGATCACCTTGTGGTCACCCTTTTAAACCCCAGGCCCTCCATGGCCCTTCCCCCAGGTGGGACTTCTGGTCACTTGGCCAGTCAAGAGCTGGGTTAGGCTAGACTGGGGCAGCCTCCAGTGTTCTGTGATTGCCAAGACACTGGGGCTGAAGTGCTCCAGCTCTGGGCTGGGGGGGAGGCAATTCACTGCCTCACCTGGGCAAGGCCTGACCTGTCCCTCCTACCATACTACACAGACATCTCAAAATGTCTCGAGACCTCAATCCTTTCCAGTCTCTGACACTCAGTCACAAGCCCATCGTTATTTCACAGCTCTTCCCTGATGACTTAAGGCATCAAGGGCCCACCTAGCTAGAAGCAACTCACCTTTGTGTTGCCAATCCAAATCTACCTGTGACACCTTAGTTCTGACAGCCCAATCCATCTGTTCATTGTTGTGGTGCTCTTCATTACCCCAACTCTTGGGCACATGGGCATCCACATGACGGACTTTCACTGTCATCATCTCTACCCAAGTAGCAATGTCTTGCAACTCTTTAGCAGCCCAAATCTGTTTTCCTCTATGCTGCCAATTGGCCTTTTTCCACCTTCCCAGCCACCCCCACAGAGCATTTACTACCATCCGTGAGTCATTGTAGAGGTAGATTGTTGACCACATCTCTCACTCAGCTATGTCCAAAGCCAGCTGGATAGCTTTCAACTCTGACTGGATCCAGCTTGTCCTTCAGTAACTTCTTTGACTCGACACATAGAGATCCATACAGCTGCTTTCCATTTCCTACTGGTTCCTACGATATGGCAGGATCTGTGGGTGAAGAGAGCATATTGCCTCTCACTCTCTGGTAGCTGGTTATATTGTGGAGCCTCCTCAGCACATGTCACCTGTTCTTCCTCTTCCAATGATAATCCAAAATTCCCAGCTTCAGGCCAGTTTGTGATGACTTCCAAGATCCCAGAATGATTTGTATTTCCTATTCGAGTTTGCTGTGCATTGAGAGCAATACACTTACTCCAGGTAGCATCAGTAGCATGATGTGTTACAGGGACTTTTCCTTTAAATATCCACCCCAGCACTGGTAGTTGGGGTGCCAGAAGAAGCTATGCTTCGGTGCCAATTACTTCTGAGGCTGATGCCGAATGATTTTTGCCTTTTTCCTTTTATATATTCTCTGCATTCTTCACACATATATTTGTAGCCTATTATTGTCTTAGTAGCTAGTTCCAGTACTTTTCCCTACCTTTTCCCTAGGCAGAAAGACAAAACATATTCCAGAGCTCCAAGCCCTGGGGGGTACAAGGCCCTTATCCCATCTTGGTTCTTTCTGGGAACCAAGGCTGTAAAACATCTCTTCAAGACACATTTTCATAAACAAAGTTTAGTTTCCATCTGAGGGGGGAGGATTTAGAGCGTGTTGAACGAGAGGAAATTACCTCACCTCTTATGTCTCTAATTGGTGATTTTTGTCAAATATGCTAATATTTGATAATTTGCTAAACTTATAAAACTGTATTCACCCCATGTGGGGGTAGACATTTTGTGGACATTTTCCATAATTGCCCCTGAAGGCCTCCAATAAAGAACAGCCTTTATATTACCTCCTATACTAATATTATCTTGAAAGTGTGTTGTTTTATTTCTAGGTTCTTTAAGGCATCTGGCAGCTCAAACCCCTTTATAGGCTGCTATGATCTCTTTCTCAGTTGGGGTGTAGCTGGCCTCAGATCCTGTGTATGCCTGACTCCATTGTCCTTGAATCTCCCCAGACACCTTCTACCCGAGGCTCCAGGACTGAACATTCTTTCTGTCTGTGGTATAGAGCACATTCTTCACATCCTGTCATGTCCTGACTGGCCCAAGGGCTACTGCCAGGGCAATCTCTTGTTTGATCTGCTTGAAGGCTTGCTGTTGTTCAGGGCCCCACTTGAAATCATTTTTCTTTCATGTCACAAGGTAGAAAGGACCTACAATCTGTCTGTACTCCAGGATGTGAATCCTCCAAAAACCCACAGCACCTAGGAAAGCCTGTGTTTCTTTCTTGCTGGTCACTGGAGACATAGCTATCTTACTGATCACCTCTGTTGGAATTTGTGTTCATCTTTTCACTTCACCCCTAGGAACTGAATTTACTGGACAGACCCCTTGACCTTATTCTGTTTAATGGCCAAACCCACTTTCAGGAGAATCTGGATTATTTTCTCCCTTTTCTCAAAAGCCTCCTCTGCCATGTTCTCCCATACAATGATGCCGTCAGTGTACTGTAAGTGTTCTGGAGCCTCATCCTTTTCTAGTGCAGTCTAAATCAGTCCATACCAGATGGTTGGACTGTGCTTCCACCCCTTGGGGCAGTCAGTTCCAGGTGTACTGCATGCCCCTCTGATACCAAAAAAGTTAATCCAATTTCTAGTGTGTCTGTGTACTTTTAGCAAAGAAACAGGGTATGCAGGATTTGCTTTCTCATCAAGGAAAGAAGGAAGATAAGGGGAAGACATCTGGCTTAGGAATGCAGATACAGCCAAAACAAGACTATAAAAATAACCCTGAAAAACTGAATCTGGGGAGGGTCATATGGTTATGAGCATCTATAATATGCATGTGGTGACTTTCTATAAGCAATGCACTTGGAGGAGTTGGTGTGCATGCAAGATGGAGCTATCCCCTGTGCAACCAGGCCTATAATAAATAATGCCCTTTGTTGTGTAGCACTGAGTAGTTTATTTAGTTATTATTTTGTACTGGGTGATTGGAATTTTGCACTGAGTAGTTTTTATATTGCACTAAGTGGTTTGTTTGTATGACATGGTTTGTTCTACACACCCCTCCTCCTCCAAGGTCCTGTGGTGGTGGTCTTACCCCAGGGTACTTCCTCCTCTCACTCCTCTCCTCAGTTGTATCCCATTGGTTGTAGTTCCTCTCCTCTGCCCCCCGCTCCCTGGGTTTAAAATTCCCTGCCACAAGACCCTTGACCTTTTTTTTTCTCTGGGACGCCTCTTTACTACCTGGAGGTATTACACAATAAAGTTGCGGGACATTTGTCCCGAGAAGAAGAGCGCCTCACATTTTTTGCCTTTGTCATTGTTGGCAAAGCTGGGGTCCAGAGCTAGCCAGGGGACCCCACTAAGGCTTACAAAACAACAGCACTTAATGCTACATTGGTGGTAAGGAGTTTTATTTGACCACTTTTCAGTGAATATCGGTGACACACCCAGGTGAAAGCAAACTGTGGCCTGCACTCTGATGCTAAAGGAATGGACAAAAATGTGTTAGCAATGTCGATGGTGGCACCTCTTTGCTGCCTTGGACTCCAGTTTGTACTGAAGTTCCAGCATGTCTGTCACAGCAGCACTCAGTGATGGTGTATCTTCGTTCAGGCCATGATAGTCCACTGTTAGTCTCCATACTCCATTAGACTAATGCACAGGCCATATGGGACAATTGAAGGGTAAGCAAGTCTTACTGACAACTCTCTGGTTCTCCAGTTCACAAATCATCTTTTGGGTGGTAATCATGGAGTCTCGGTTGGTTCGGTATTGCCAATGATGTACTGTTGTGGTGGCAATTGTTACCTATTGCTCTTCCACCCTCAGGAGTCCTACTACAGAATGGTCCTCTGCGAGACCAGGCAAGGTATTTAACTGTCTAATGCCTTCTGTCTCCACAGCAGCTATCCCAAAAGCCCTCTGTAGAGACTGAAAACACGGACCCTGGTCTGAATCAACAGAATCGCTTTATTAAGCACACGAATATTTATATGTTTTTCTGTGTACAAGTTTAGGATCAAACTATGCAGTCAGTGAGTAGGAGAGGGAGCAGCACGCAAACAGAGCAAATGTTTCTTGCTTTTATCAAAAAACATTCACACATACCACACAGCCTTTCCACAAAGCATTCTCACATAGGTATTTATGGCTGGAGATATTCCTTTGGTATGCGCTTTTCCATAAGAAAAGGGCTGCTGTTAAGGTCAAGCAGGCCAAGCAGCTGCTGCTTCTACAGCCCACCAATGTCCTTTTGGATCACTGAAAAAACCACTACCGAGGCAATCTATGCCAAGGACACACAGGGCCTCTGGAACAGTCAGAATTGGATGTTTCTTTCACTCCTTTCCAGTCAAGCTCACCTCAGTGTCGGAACTCAAAATGTCCCTCAGACATTTTTAGAGGTTCCAGGCCTTGGTCAGAAGCATTTTAGACCCTGGCAAGCAGCAGAAAACAGCTGTGATTTTGAGTTTGAACGATGGAATGAATTACCAACTTTAAAGGTGGAACAAGCGGTCACAGAGGGTTAGATGGTATAGTAAAAGTAGTCACAAATTAGAGGGTAAAATTTTTTAGTATTGTACAGGGGGGTTTTAACACCTGTACAGGGGGGTTTTACTTTGTACAGGGGGGTCAGGAGTTCTAAGATGGAGGAAAGTGGGCCTGATCCTTTTCTTCCTCCTTCTTCTTCCTTACCTCCATGTTCTTGGTGATGTTGGCATTTTTCTATTGGTTTAGGCTGGGGACACACTGTTCAACATAGGTGATAGATATTGGCACATTATTGTAAATATAGTACATGTAATTTCTGGTATATAATGTTTGTACCATCCCACTGAGGGGCAGAGCCCCGCACACTGCCCTGCAGGACAGACCTGCGGCAGGGCAGCAGAACATGTTATAGATAAGAAAAAATAAACAACCTTGAAAACAGCACAGACAAATTATGGCTTCTTCTTTGGCAACGGGGCAGAAAGACAGAGACTTTCTACAATCTCGGAATCACCAATACCCACAGATTCCGACAAATGGCGTCCCTGCGCAGGCATCAGCAAGAAGAACAAGAAGAAACATCAAACAACCTCCAACCTTCATCAGCAGAGAAAAACAAAAAAATAAAGAAAGGAAGAAGAACAGAGCACAAATGCTCTCGGCAGATTCTGGGAGGAGAGGGAGCGGAAAGCTCAAGATAAGAACCTGACCTTCACCAAGACAACTCGTCTGGAGGACAGCCAGGAGGAGGAAAACCAGAAGCGCGCCTGGGATTTCTCGCCTGTGACCTGCTGGACGATGAACAGTGCCATCTCTGGACTGACCTCGTGGTGACTCAGCTTTTGGTGAGAATGGTTGAAATTAAGAACATGGGGGAGGGATGCTCCCAAGGACAGACAAAAATTTTTTTTTCAGCCCTACAGGGCAAGACTTTTACCCATCTGGTAGAGATAGCCTCAAATGAGATGAAAGCTTTGTTATTGTGGGTTCAGTATAATCAACCGCACACAGATGTACATCTTTTGTTTGACTTAAATTTTTGGCAAGGGATCAATAAGCAACTGTATTACCGAGCCACAGGAAAAAGAAAAAAAAAAAAAAAGATAAGACTGCCGCAAAAACTTTTGCCTTCAGCAAGGACAATAAGAGTCATTTTCACAACGTGGCATTTTAGACTAAACAGCTAAGGCTCCTATGGGAGCACAAGGAGGAAGATGGCCCAGCCAGCAGCTTGGGGCAATTTTCCTCACCAGGGGAAGCAAATTGCCTCCCGAAGAGGATCAGGGGGGGTGGTGTCTCATCATGTCCTGTGTCTCCGGGTTCACACTGTTCCTCAAGACTCCTCAAATCTCAATTTCTAAGCTCCTCAGCTGCAGAAAATCCCCAGGCAGTGAGACAAGCCAGGCACAGACGCAGCCCTCGGTGGGGGAAGGGACTGGCCACTGCCCGAGTCCGAACCCACAGTGGGGGGGCAGCGGCGCCGGCGGCTCCTGGGGGGAGGGGGCAGACGTGAGTGTAGAGCGGAGAGAAAAGTGAGAGAGAGGAGAGAACTCTCGCAGCTGCGTGGGCGGGGAGTTCAAAGCAGCCCGCGGTGCAGGCGAGAGGGGGGGGGCAGTGGGAACCACGCGGACGCAGGAGGCGGCGGGAGCGCGGTGCGGCGGTCAGACGCCTGGAGCGCCCGGTGATGCGTTCCATGACGAGGGTCCGTGAAACCGCAAAAGCGATGCACGGGGAATAGCTCCCAATTCGCAGCGGCGGCGCTGGCCAGGCGGGCGGCTGGACGGAGAGCTGGACTCTCCTGTCGCCGCGGCCATGGCAGCGCGCATGCGCGAGACGGTAGAGCAAACCCGGAAGTCGGGGCGGGGATCTATCGCATCTCGAACGCACGGGCACGGGCGCAGACAGCGTCGGGGGTGGCGGTGGCCGCCAGCCAGCCGTCCGCAGACTGCGCGGTGGCCGCGGGGGGAGACCCGAGAGGCGCGGGGCCGAGCGGGATGCGGCGCGGGGCCGCGGCAGCGCGGAACGCGGCGTGCGCGCGCTGATGACGTCAGCAGAGCGCCGAATCGCGCTGGGACCGGCAGCAGCTCGGGGGACGGCACGGGCCGACCCAGAGCGAAAACCAAGGCAGCGCCAGGCCTGACAGAGAGAATGGGGGGGGACGTTCCCGAGGGACGGCCGCGTGGAGCCGGTGTAGGCAGGCGCGGTCGGTGCGGGGGTTCCTTCCCTTGTTCCCATGGCGACACAGACAGAGAGGATGAATCTAGGCTGCGCATGCGTTTGCGAGAGTTAAAGCGAACGCGGAAGTGGCTGAGAATGGGGGTGCTGGGTTTGGAGAGGATGCAGGCACGAGTTCGGCACGGCTGACAGCGGGTGTGAGCAGGAAAGGAGAGCAAGAGAGGCGCAGCATCCTAACGCAGGCAGAAGCGGGGTTTGACTGCACCAGAAATGCTCCCAGTGCTCTCATGCCGGTGCAGATGGGGGCTGAGCAGAGCCAGTTGCAGGGATTCCTTTGATCACCCTTTCTTCACAGCAGGTGCGAGCGACGCACCGCCCATTTCCTTTCAGCAGCGGCAGCAAACAACAAAATCACAACAGCCACAGCAAACAATCTTTTACAAGCAGCAAATATCCTGCAGCAATGCTGAGGGATGGGACTCCCAACCTTCACTCTGAAATGAAATTCCATCAGTCAGTCGCTTTTTGAAAACCAGTCAACACAAGGCCTTTTTAAAATCTCACCAATGTTTCTAAACACTAACCCCAGATTTTTCAGCTAGGTCACAGAATTGATCGAGCAGACACGCCCAGCCGGTGTGATGATAAGTAATGATTGTGGAACACAATGTGAAAAAGAGATATCATAATGAAAATTGAAATAGAGAATAAAATAGCATGAAATGTTAGTAATTTATTATATTAAGGTTTAAGTTAGGTTGTATTTTAACGTTCTATTAATGATAGAATTGATTTTTATATAGTTGGTTTGCGTTTAAGTTAAGTATTGTTTAGTTAGAGTATATCACTTTAAGTTTATTTTAGGTTTGGGCCCTGAAGAAGTTAAGTTTATAAAGGTTTAATTGATGATGGATTTATATATTATTAATTTGATACATATGGATTTCGTAAAGTTAATATAATTTAGGGATTCTTTATAAGATTGTTATATATTGAGTTTAAGTACTGTTTGATTCAAAAATTATTTTAAGTTTTTCAAAGGTCAAGTTTATTTGGCAGCAAGGTTTAGTTGTTTTTCTTTGAGAATGAGAAGGTTTTGACTGAAACAGTTCACAAAGTAATAATGAACATTGATTTAAGGAGAAGTTATTGGATTTATTGGATTCTTGGTTTTGTTTTAGTATTTTCTGTTTTATTATAAGTTTATCAGTATATAAGAGTTGTAAGGGAATTTATTTTGAGTTTTCTGAGATTGATTTCATTGTTTAAAAACCAGTTTTATAGTCTGTTATTTCTTTGTATAATGATACGAAGGGCATTTGTTTTCAAATCCTTTATTTTTAACTATTTAAGTGTTCTATAAATGTTATTGTTAAGAAATTTCATCATGTTATCAGGTGAAGATTTGTGCTTTGTTTTTTCATAGTGAATTTTCGTATGTTTTATTGTTGTTTATGTAATCTTATCCAGGTTACATGCCAGTTCTGAAGTCTCATTTTGGATTTTAACTGTATTGTGCATTTTTCTAGGTGAACTTCCTGATTCGTTTTTATATCTCTCGTGAGTGGAATCATTGCATTTCTATTTTTCATCATTCTCAAATGTTTTTCAGAAAATCTCAGAGAGAGGTGCCTGAAGCATTCTGACAACCTCTTGCCATTGTTAATCTTACGATTTCTTCAATTGGCATCCTTTTCCTTCAAAAGAGTTTCAAGAAAAATGAATCTTTGTGTCATTTCATCAGTTTATCGGTTTGAACTTCAAGTGTTTATTTTATAAGAAAATGTTATAATAGGTTATTATGTTTTAAGTATCATATAGGTATTGTTAGTGTAAGTTTTGTTTTATATAATATGTTAAGGGACATCTCTCCAGTTTAAAGTTTGGGTCCTGGCCAGACCCTGATTTTAACTTGGACAGATGAGTTTGCCAGCAAAATTCAGAGGTTTCTGCACAAAAATGAATGATATGCAGGTCATTTTTGACCCATCAATTTGATTCTACAAAGGTGACAGCTGACACAGCTTTGAGGTGAAACTTGCCAGCCTTGCCCGGGAAAGGATGCCAAGGGTTTTCACTGGAAACAAATGTTTCAGCTGTTTGCAGACTCTGAACTGCTGTCACAATGTTTCTAATGATCGTGCTTTGTTCATTTTTATATATGCTATTTAGAATATCTTTCTTTTGAATTTTCTTGAATTGTTATCGATTTTGATAAGTTTTATGCATTTTATCATTGAGGTATTTTGTCTTGTTCTATATTATGGTTTACATTTAAACTTTCTTGTTTCAAAAGAGAATAAGAGAAAGAGAGAAAAAAGGAAAAAGAAAAAAGAAAAGGAGTGAAGAAGTGCCTGAAATAAGGCTGAAATGAGGTTGAAGATTTTGTATGTTTTAATCTCTTGAAATAATTATTTTGTAGACTTGATTTTGCTGATCATTGAGAAAAATATGAAGAGAGTGCTAGACACTGGACAGATAAAATTGAGAAAAAAAAAATCGTTCAAATAAGTAGCTTTGAGCAAGGATTTTGTTAATGTTTCCACAGAAGTTGAAAGTGGGGGTTTTTAGTTTGCAGACCCTCAAAAACAATTTTTACAGATTTAGAGATGGGAGCTCAGATGATTATTGTGGCAGAGACCAGATTGCTGACAATGTCAGGCAAAGATTTCTTAATCATTCATTTACATTTAAAGAAGAAATATTTTGAGTGGACAATCCAAAGTCACAAGATTTTTCAATCACGTTGTTAGGGCATTCAGAAGTTTGCACAGTTCGTTTTCCAGCACACAAAATGTTAAATGTAAAAGTGAGTTTCAGGGAAAAAACAAAAAAGAAGCCAAGAACCAATGGAAGAAATGACAGTATTCACTGATGGTTTGGGAAAAAACCTCACAAATCAGTGGTCACATGGAAAAATCAAAAAACAGGGAAATGGAAATCAAATATCAAAATGTTACAAGGTTCACCACAAGTTGCAAAATTGGTAACAATAGTCAGGGTTTTTTCAGTTATTCCAGGAACCCTCAATCTAATCACAGATTCAGCATATGTTGCAAATGTGATCAAACAATTAGAGGAATCACTTTTAAAACATACAGACAAGGAAATTTTATATTCATATCTATTATGCATGAAAATAATCCTAGAAAAACAGAGAACATTAATAAACACATCAGAGTGCATTCTTCACTTCCGGGGTTTTTAGTAAAAGAGAATGCTCATGTAAATAGACTCACAATGCCCATCTTGCAGACACTGCCAGACATTTTTGAGCAGGCAAAATTGAGCCATGCATGTTTTCACAAAAATGCACAGGCATTGATGGGAACCTTTCACCCTTCTGAAAGTCAGACAAAGGAAATCTGCTTGCCAGAGTGCCAGTTTGTGCAATCTCCTGTATTTACAGGAGTGGTCGATCTGAAAGGTTTGTAAAAGCCTTCAGGTGTGGCAAACTGATGCCAGAAAATATGTGTCTTTTGGAAGACTCGAAAACATTTATATCTCAGTTGACACATTTTCAGAGGCGATTTTTGCATCATTATATACAGGGGAGACCACAGAACATACCTGCAAACATTTTTTATAAGCATTTACATCATTAGGAGTGCAACAAGAAATAGAAACAGATAATGGTCCAATTTACACAAGCAAGGTGCTTGACAAATTTTTGAAAAAACAGAGAGTCAAACATATTTTCAATATTCTTCATTCTCCCTCAGGTCAAGCAAGCAAAGAACACATCACACCCTGAAATCCACTTGAATAGACAGAAAAGAGAGGAGGCAGGGTTGAACAAATGTGTTGAATTTTTTAAATGGTTTTTTTCTCAGAGCCCACTCTACTGATTGTCAGATATGTTACAAACAGCCCACAGGAAAAACTAAGGGAAAATCCTTTCGTTTTGATCAGAAATCCAGAGTCAGGACAGATTGAAGGTTCATTTACATTGACAACTTGGGGCGAGGGTTTCGCTTGTGTTTCTATAGGACGAGGACTGAAGTGAATGCCAGCGAGGCACATGTAACCTTATCGGGTGCAGACGCCAGTGGACGTGGACCCGAGAAGCAGAGAGGCAAGCACGCAGACAAAGGCAGACAACAACGCTGCAGACGTCTCGTCGGACAACGATTGATCACCCAGAGACTTGGGGTTTTTTCTGAGAAATCAAGTGTTGTTTGGGTGTTGCTGCATTGCAGGGTTTCTCACAGAGGGTGGGGACATGGACATGGGATTCAGACAGATAGTGTTCATGTGCTTCATTCTTTCACCTGTTGCCTTGGGCAACAGGACAGATTTTCCCATGAGACAACCAAGGGAAAAAGTGTGGGAGACTTTGGCAAAAGCAGCTGGTCTGGACAGCATTTGCCTGACCCATTCGAAACCAGAGAAACCATTTTCAACATGCTTGGTAGGTGTGCCAGTGGAGGAATGGTCAGTCCCAGGGGACATCCTTCCAAGGGTTCTGAAGTTTTTTTCGGATCCTGTGGAGGGATGACATGTTTGGACACAGTTCCTTCCTGTGGCTCACTTTGAACCTCTGGATTTGGACATTTTGGGTCAACAAAAATGAAATGGTGCATCAAATTTAATTCATCAGGAGTGGCAAAGACAGATAATCATACAATAGATGTCACTCCGAATCAGCCTTTTTATAAAAATGCGTCATCTTGGTGCAATCATACCAAAATGACAAGCAAACCATCCTTTCAACATCCAGCCACTTTACCGAAGGGAATGGTTTTCATTTGCGGGGACAGAATTTGGCCTGCTATCCCTGCAAAAATCAAGGGTGGTCCATGCAGCATTGAAAGATCTTTTGTTAACACACAGCATGACCTTGATAAGAGAGCAAGGAGAAAAAAATCTGATGAATGAAATGATCCAAATTGTGACAATGATAATGTTAATACCAAGAAAAAAGGCTCGGAAAAACTGAGTGGTTCTGCTTTCACAGCAGGTGGCATCAAAAAGAGCCTTGGTGCAGTTGGATCAAAAGAGGTTGTGGGCAGAGTAAAGATGCCCATGTCATTTCTTTTGCATCGAATGATTTGTTAGCTAGCAGTGAGAAATGAGAACAAAACA